TGTCAGCGTTGACGATGCAGCCGATGGTCTTCAGAGGACAGAAGGTGTCGTACTGACCGTAGAACTGAGCGCTGCTGGGGTTCCAGATCAGGAAGCGGCTCTGCTCCAGAGTCAGGACGTACGCTGAGGGGCCCTGAGGGGGGAGGGAGTAAACTGTCAACGATAAGCTGCTCTTTCATTGGGAATATCCCCAAGAGAGGTAGAAGCAGACATCACTACTGAGATTAGTCACAGTCTCTTAGTGGTAACACCATGAAGGGAGACATTTGAGGAGGTTTACGACAAAACAGAACTACAAAACGGCTAAATAATCAGAGGGTCTCGACGGACCAGACTCCTAAATGGGATCAGAGGGTCTGTGCCAATTATAGAGGCATCACACTACTCAGCCTCCCCGGGAAAGTTTACTCTAAGGTACTGGAAAGGAGGGTCCGGCCGATAGTCGCTTCATCGGTCTGCGATCTTCAGCTTCGGCTGGGATGAGGATCAGCACATCCAAATCTGAGGCCATGGTTCTCAGCAGGAAACCGATGGACCGTCCACTCCAAGTAGGGAATGAGTAACTACCCCAAGTGGAGGAGTTCAAGTATCTCGGGGTCTTGTTCTCGAGTGAGGGAACAATGGAGTGTGAGATGGGCCGGAGAATCGTGGGAGCGGGAGCGGTACTGCAGTCGCTTCACCGCACCGTGTGAGGAAAAGAGAGCTGAGCCAGAAGGCAAAGCTCTCTGTCTACCGGGACATTCTCGTTCCTACCCTCACCTCGTCATGAAGGATGGGTCATGACTGAAAGAACGAGATCGCGGATACAAGCGGCCGGGTTGGGTTTTCTCCGCAGGGTGGCTGGCGTCTCCCTTAGGGATAAGGTGAGAAGTTCAGTCACCCGGGAGGGACTCGGAGATGAACCGCTGCTCCTACGCGTTGAAAGGAGCCAGTTGAGGTGGTTCGGGCACCTAGTAAGGATGCTACCTGGTAAGGATACCACCTAGGCACCTCCCTAGGTGTTCCAGGCACGTCAGGCTGGGAGGAGACCGAAGGGCAGACCCAGGACCCAGGTATCGACCAAGGACCCAGGTATCTACCTAGGACCAAGTGGAGGGATTATATCTCTACCCAGGACCAGGTGGAGGGATTATATCTCTACCTAGGACCAGGTGGAGGGATTATATCTCTACCTAGGACCAGGTGGAGGGATTATATCTCTACCCATGACCAGGTGGAGGGATTATATCTCTACCTAGGACCAAGTGGAGGGATTATATCTCTACCTAGGACCAGGTGGAGGGATTATATCTCTACCTAGGACCAGGTGGAGGGATTATATCTCTACCCAGGACCAGGTGGAGGGATTATATCTCTACCTAGGACCAAGTGGAGGTATTATATCTCTACCTAGGACCAGGTGGAGGGATTATATCTCTACCTAGGACCAAGTGGAGGGATTATATCTCTACCTAGGACCAAGTGGAGGGATTATATCTCTACCTAGGACCAGGTGGAGGGATTATATCTCTACCTAGGACCAGGTGGAGGGATTATATCTCTACCCAGGACCAGGTGGAGGGATTATATCTCTACCTAGGACCAGGTGGAGGAATTATATCTCTACCTAGGACCAGGTGGAGGGATTATATCTCTACCCAGGACCAGATGGATTATATCTCTACCCAGGACCAGGTGGAGGGATTATATCTCTACCCAGGACCAGGTGGAGGGATTATATCTCTACCCAGGACCAGGTGGAGGGATTATATCTCTACCTAGGACCAGGTGGAGGGATTATATCTCTACCTAGGACCAAGTGGAGGGATTATATCTCTACCTAGGACCAGGTGGAGGGATTATATCTCTACCCAGGACCAGGTGGAGGGATTATATCTCTACCCAGGACCAAGTGGAGGGATTATATCTCTACCTAGGACCAGGTGGAGGGATTATATCTCTACCTAGGACCAGGTGGAGGGATTATATCTCTACCTAGGACCAGGTGGAGGGATTATATCTCTACCTAGGACCAGGTGGAGGGATTATATCTCTACCTAGGACCAGGTGGAGGGATTATATCTCTACCTAGGACCAGGTGGAGGGATTATATCTCTACCTAGGACCAGGCACACATCTCTACTGACTTCACGGGATACTTCATGGGAATTTGTTTTTATTGATTTCTATAAAGGCTGTTTCCTCACCTCAGGTATCGCCGTGCCGATGATAAGCCACGCCTTCTTTCCCATCGACAGGAAGTAGTTACACAGCAGGACAGCATGCTCCTCTTCGTCACCTGCTAACAGAGTCAGGAACTGCTGTAAAACAGAAGAGGAGGAGGAAGAGGAGGAGGAAGATGGTGAAGAGTTACTGTGAGATGAGTTTCTTTAACCCCAGATTCCTGGAGAGTTTCTTTAACCCCAGATTCCTGGAGAGTTTCTTTTAACCCCAGATTCCTGGAGAGAGTTGCTCACATCACAGGTGCTCCAGAGGTCGCAGGCTCCAGAGAAAGAGACTCTGTCGGGGAGAGACGGGATGAGGGAGACGAACCGAGAGACCAGAGCCTGTGGGGGGGGAGACATGTTTAAATATAGAGACACAATCAATAAAGAAAGGATTGGAGTGAGTGTGTGAGTGAGTGAGTGAGTGAGTGAGTGAGTGAGTGAGTGAGTGAGTGAGTGTGTGAGTGTGTGAGTGAGAGTGTGTGTGAGTAAGTGAGTGTGAGTGTGAGTGTGAGTGTGTGTGCGTGCGTGTGTGCGTGCGTGTGTGCGTGCGTGTGTGTGTGAGTGTGAGTAAGTGAGTGTGTGTGTGTGTGTGTTAGCTTCCCTAGATCAAGTGGTGCTGAGGCCTGTACTACGAAGCCGGATGTTCTCTGAGCTGACTTCAGGGAAAACTCGGGCTTTCCGGTCCTACGACGCTGGTTCTCTTTTTAGCGGGCTAGATCTCCATGGTAACTTATGCTGAGCGGCTAACCTCCTCGGGAGCAGGTTAGGTTGCAGGCTAAGAGATCAACTCAGTGAAAGCACCGCCTGCTGACCAATCAGAGCTCCGTGTGCGGAGTTTAAAGCGATCAAGTCATATTACAGGATAGAGGAAATACAGAAAAACTGCCGTTGCAGGAAAGACGGCCGGCAAAAATCACCTGACTGTGTGAACGTGAACATTAATAGAATATCCCCTCCCATCTTCAGAGCAATCTGACTATTATAATATTAGCGCTAAAAAAGCTTACTTAAATATCTGCCACAACTTAAGTAACCGGATCAGAGTAACATTAAGTACAGTCCGCGGCACTGTGAGTGCAGACGTCGATGTGTCCCATTATCATTCATATCATATCACATCATAATGTATCATATATTTCCTTATCTGAGTCAGCTGAGCCGTATCTGGCCGTGCAACACTCACAGTGTCACATACTGGATGCAGAAGTATTATTTTAAGCAACACATTAAGTTGACGAAACACTCGAGTCAAATGTAATTAAAGTCAGATCGTGTCTTAGACGGGGCAGTGATATCATAAACCTGTTGATGTACGCATTCAAACACTTTCTCTGTTACCAGCTGTATTCACCTTGCAGGTGCAGCTATGTGGCTTTGATCCTGGATAAAGTGTTTAAGTCATGGATGTTTAAAGTTTAACTTCTTCATATTTGACTAATATTAAAGTTCACTTTTCATTCAGGAAGTATGACGCTGCGCTGTCAGTACGCTTGTCCATGTTTGTGATTGGTCGAATGCTCCAAATACCACCCCTTTCATGTGAACGCGCACCTAACTAGATAGGACACGGCTGGCTTGAGCGATACACTTGATAACCAGCGTCGTAGGACCGCTTAGCGAGAGCGCGTATGTTTTGGATTGGGCCAACCGGCTAACTCAGACATATCCAGGTTAAGTTGAACCAGCTTCGTAGTACAGGCCTCTGCTCTGCACCTGTATGTAAATGACCTAAAACCTGAGTCATTATCTCTGCTGTGTCTCTATGAACCCCTAACCCCCCCCCCCACTGACCGCGGCCTCCTGCTGGTTGCTGCAGGCGTCCAGCAGCTCCTGGGGGGGGTTCAGGGCTCGGATGTATCTCGTGATGAACACCGTCTTCCCGTTGAGGTCGACGACAGAAGAGACGCACGGCCGCTCGGGGAAACTCTGAGACGCTTCCCGCTCGAAGCGCTCCGCCGCCGCCAGCAGACCCTCGTCCTCCTGACTGTCGAACTGAGAGGTCAGAGGTCAGGGGTCAGAGGTCAGAGGATACAGTACATTACACTGATGATGGTGATGCAGTGATTGGTGGACAGTTACCTTCCTTTCCTTAATCTAGCATTGAGAAGCAAACAGGTGGAACAGAAGGAGGACAAACGAGAGAAATGAAAACCATAACGCAAAAAGTTAAAAGTCAATCAAAACAAGTAAATATCAACAAATGAGGAACGCAGACATAATAAATAATAACATTACACAGAAAAGGAAATATAGTATAGTATATATATATGTATGAGTGCCCGTAAAAATAGACATCAAATATAGAAACGGAAACTCAAAGAGGATTACAAGCAGCTAAGAGGATCTGAAGACACACCTAGACAGACGAGGACACACTGATGCATGCTGGGAACTATAAAGCACTTGATTTAACCCACCTTCTCTCTGACCGTCTCACCAGGCACCAGCTGGGGCTGGATGGTGATGAAGAGTGTGATGAAGGCTCCTTCACTGACGCTCCTCAGAGCCTCGTAGCCTCCGTTAGCGCTGCGCTCCTTACTGTAGCCTAGCAACACCGCGGGAGTATTCACCTTCAGAGTCCCGTCAATCTGTAGAGAGGACAAGGTCAATATCAGGAGTCTCCACTTTAAAGAGTCCTCTCCTGCTGATGTTCAGGTGTATATCAGTATGTAGTGTCTCTACTTTAAAGAGTCCTCTCCTGCTGATGTTCAGGTGTATATCAGTATGTAGTGTCTCTACTTTAAAGAGTCCTCTCCTGCTGATGTTCAGGTGTATATCAGTATGTAGTGTCTCTACTTTAAAGAGTCCTCTCCTGCTGATGTTCAGGTGTATATCAGTATGTAGTGTCTCTACTTTAAAGAGTCCTCTCCTGCTGATGTTCAGGTGTATATCAGTAGGTAGTGTCTCTACTTTAAAGAGTCCTCTCCTGCTGATGTTCAGGTGTATATCAGTATGTAGTGTCTCTACTTTAAAGAGTCCTCTCCTGCTGATGTTCAGGTGTATATCAGTATGTAGTGTCTCTACTTTAAAGAGTCCTCTCCTGCTGATGTTCAGGTGTATATCAGTATGTAGTGTCTCTACTTTAAAGAGTCCTCTCCTGCTGATGTTCAGGTGTATATCAGTATGTAGTGTCTCTACTTTAAAGAGTCCTCTCCTGCTGATGTTCAGGGTGTTATCAGTATGTAGTGTCTCTACTTTAAAGAGTCCTCTCCTGCTGATGTTCAGGTGTATATCAGTAGGTAGTGTCTCTACTTTAAAGAGTCCTCTCCTGCTGATGTTCAGGTGTATATCAGTATGTAGTGTCTCTACTTTAAAGAGTCCTCTCCTGCTGATGTTCAGGTGTATATCAGTATGTAGTGTCTCTACTTTAAAGAGTCCTCTCCTGCTGATGTTCAGGTGTATATCAGTATGTAGTGTCTCTACTTTAAAGAGTCCTCTCCTGCTGATGTTCAGGTGTATATCAGTATGTAGTGTCTCTACTTTAAAGAGTCCTCTCCTGCTGATGTTCAGGTGTATATCAGTAGGTAGTGTCTCTACTTTAAAGAGTCCTCTCCTGCTGATGTTCAGGTGTATATCAGTATGTAGTGTCTCTACTTTAAAGAGTCCTCTCCTGCTGATGTTCAGGTGTATATCAGTATGTAGTGTCTCTACTTTAAAGAGTCCTCTCCTGCTGATGTTCAGGTGTATATCAGTATGTAGTGTCTCTACTTTAAAGAGTCCTCTCCTGCTGATGTTCAGGTGTATATCAGTATGTAGTGTCTCTACTTTAAAGAGTCCTCTCCTGCTGATGTTCAGGTGTATATCAGTATGTAGTGTCTCTACTTTAAATAGTCCTCTCCTGCTGATGTTCAGGTGTATATCAGTATGTAGTGTCTCTACTTTAAAGAGTCCTCTCCTGCTGATGTTCAGGTGTATATCAGTAGGTAGTGTCTCTACTTTAAAGAGTCCTCTCCTGCTGATGTTCAGATGTGTATCAGTAGGTAGTGTCTCTACTTTAAAGAGTCCTCTCCTGCTGATGTTCAGGTGTATATCAGTATGTAGTGTCTCCACTTTAAAGAGTCCTCTCCTGCTAATGTTCAGGTGTATATCAGTATGTAGTGTCTCCACTTTAAAGAGTCCTCTCCTGCTGATGTTCAGGTGTATATCAGTAGGTAGTGTCTCTACTTTAAAGAGTCCTCTCCTGCTGATGTTCAGGTGTATATCAGTAGGTAGTGTCTCTACTTTAAAGAGTCCTCTCCTGCTGATGTTCAGATGTATATCAGTAGGTAGTGTCTCCACTTTAAAGAGTCCTCTCCTGCTGATGTTCAGGTGTATATCAGTATGTAGTGTCTCCACTTTAAAGAGTCCTCTCACCCTGCTCTGGGAGTAGATGGTGCTGAAAGGGATCTTCACGGACCCCAGCCAGTGCTTCTCCATGCGGGTGTGGATGGACTTCCCTCTGTCTCTGTCAGTCTGAGGACAGAGGGAGAATTATTCAGCAGCTTCATTCAAAGCTTCAGATTCCTCCTCAACATTTCAAATAGAGAACAGCTGGTTCTCCTGCATGTCTTTAAAGCTGGTGTCAGATAAAGACGAGGCGTATATTATTAGTATCATACTTTTGGTGTCTCCATAAAATCCCAAAGGAAAAGACCCTCAAAGCACTTATAGGAATGATATCTGATCCCTCACTGAATGCATATGGAGGGTGTGCGGGGGGACTCTGCCTTCATACATTGAGGTGTGTTCATGTGTGAACGAGGTGGTAAAGCCCCTCTAACGGTCCAGTGAAAGGACGATGTTCTGATGGACCTTCTGCTGGACTCACCCCTCCGGTTTCATAAACCACCTCATCGAAGATGTTGATGAAGACCTCGTCCTTCACCGACTGTAACGCAGCGGCGCTGTAGTCGCCGTTAGGAGCGCTGAAGACGAGGAGAGTTCACATTAGTGTTTATAGTCAGTACTCCTACCTTTGTCCTTTAGCGTCTGTGTGCACAGAGGATCTATATGAAGTCTGAAGTACTGTAAGGTTTGACTGCAACACAGAGGAACAAATGGATCAAATGAAGGATGATCATATTACTGAAGATCATACAAGACCAAGGAATCAGTAGGAGTCGTAACAACAACAACAACAACAACAACAGGTGGAAGTAGATTATAGATCAGCTTATTTGTTAGCGTTATCCACATTTTTTATGGAAGACTTTTAGGTCTTAAAGGTTATTATACTCTTCTTCATCAGTATATCACAGGTCTCTGATTTATACAGAACCTGTCTCTGATTGGCTGAAACACATTTACAGATTATTAACTTTTTTATGTTACATTTGGAAAAGTTTGTGATGTGAAGGTTGGAACCCCCGTTGCAAACTGAAAGAATATTTTACCTTTTTTTTTATATAATATTTTCCGGATAATTTTTCTTTTTGACAAAAATATTATCTGATGTTTCTTTGAAAAAAATGTTACTTCTGATTTTTTGATTAAATATTTATTGAGAATTTATTTGAACCAAATTGAACCAAAAGTTTTATCATTTTTAAATCTTTCCAAATGTTTTCAAATTTTTATCAAATCTTTTCCAGATTTCTTATTTTTATTTAAAATCTTTTCAGAATATTATTAAAAAGACACAACATCATTTTTGGGGAAACCAAACAGATCATTGCAGCATTACCCATAATCCCCTCTGTTTTAGCCCTGTTTCTAAAGAGCTGATTCTAATTCCCCTCCTCGACTCCTCGGTCCTCCGGTAGTGACCCGGAAATGGATTTCAGCGCGCCATGTTGAAGGACATCTCATTTCTCTAAATGCACATTGAGGACCGAGCATCGAGCGTCGAGGAGGCTCTCTGGAGGAGCTCTAACCGAGGAGACACTGATGGGTCCTCCACAGTCCTCCACGGCTCCTTCGTGGATGCATTTCCGGGAACAGAGATGTTTCAAAGAGTCGAGACGCACGGCCGGACTGATCTCAGCCAATCACAGCTCTGCATGCATCCCCTGGATATTATTTTAGTAACTGCTTTCATCAGACGCGATGTTTCCAGAGAGAACAGCTGTGAGGTCCGTGCAGAAAGCAGAGCAGTGTGTATAATATATATCACTCAGTATAACAGGCCTACTCTCTTTGCTTTAGTTTAGTAGATATCTACAAACAAAGAGTCGATATTTTTCTAAGACCATTTAGTGCTTCACAAAATAAAATACACAACGGCTGTAGCCTGATTATATGCTTTAGGAGCTGTAGGTGTGTGTGGTACAGTGTGTAGGTGTGTGTGGTACAGTGTGTAGGGTGTGTGGTACAGTGTGTAGGTGTTGTGTGGTACAGTGTGTAGGTGTGTGTGGTACAGTGTGTAGGTGTGTGTGGTACAGTGTGTAGGTGTGTGTGGTACAGTGTGTAGGTGTGTGTGGTACAGTGTGTAGGTGTGTGTGTGGTACAGTGTGTAGGTGTGTGTGGTACAGTGTGTAGGTGTGTGTGGTGTAGGTGTGTGTGGTACAGTGTGTAGGTGTGTGTGGTACAGTGTGTAGGTGTGTGTGGTACAGTGTGTAGGTGTGTGTGGTACAGTGTGTAGGTGTGTGTGGTACAGTGTGTAGGTGTGTGTGGTACAGTGTGTAGGTGTGTGTGGTACAGTGTGTAGGTGTGTGTGTGGTACAGTGTGTAGGTGTGTGTGGTACAGTGTGTGGGTGTGTGTGGTACAGTGTGTAGGTGTGTGTGGTACAGGTGTAGGTGTGTGGTACAGTGTGTAGGTGTGTGTGTGGTACAGTGTGGGTGTGTGTGTGGTACAGTGTGTAGGTGTGTGTGGTACAGTGTGTAGGTGGTGTGTGGTGTAGGTGTGTGGTACAGTGTGTAGGTGTGTGGTGTAGGTGTGTGGTACAGTGTGTAGGTGTGTGTGGTACAGTGTGTAGGTGTGTGTGTGGTACAGTGTGTAGGTGGGTGTGGGTGTGGTGGTGTGGGGTACAGTGTGTAGTGGTATGTGGTAGCGGGTGTGGGTAGGAGTGTTGGTGGTAAGTGGTAGGTGTGGGTGGTACAGTGTGTAGGTGTGTGTGGTACAGTGTGTAGGTGTGTGTGGTACAGTGTGTAGGTGTGTGTGTAGGTGTGTGTGGTACAGTGTGTAGGTGTGTGTGTGGTACAGTGTGTAGGTGTGTGTGGTACAGTGTGTAGGTGTGTGTGGTACAGTGTGTAGGTGTGTGTGGTACAGTGTGTAGGTGTGTGTGGTACAGTGTGTAGGTGTGTGTGGTACAGGTAGGTGTGGTACAGGTGTAGGTGTGTGTGGTACAGTGTGTAGGTGTGTGTGGTACAGTGTGTGCGTAGAGATGCAGCGGACAGACGGGTCTCAGTTGGTTTGGTGTCCTCTGCTTACTTTTAATACTTGTAAATACAACTTTTGGCCCGTAATTTATTTTCCCCATTTCAGCGACCAGAGAGAGGGGGGGCAGGGGGGGGGGATATATCCAGTCTCTGATTGTGTTACGTTATTATGAGAGTGCTCGCATACTTTAAATTGTATATATATATATAAATATATATGTGTGTGTAAATGTCCGCATCTGTAGCCTGTTATTGTCTCATTATACCGCACTGTGAATGAATCAAAGTAAATATAGAAGTCATCATGAACACATCTGTCCATCAGACAGAGGGCTGCTGTGCCTCCTGTCATCATTAATGGACGTCTCTTTAAAATGACCGCTCAGAGGAGAGGAGTTCTCATTTCGGCCCCCGTTGACCCAGAGGTTGTGAAACACAGACGTAAACATGGATATATTTCTGGTTCTGGAGTCACCTGAAGGGCAGCTGCAGCTCCTCGTTCCAGCAGGGGTTCGGCCCCTCAGCCGTGGTGGTCTGAAGCACTGAGCGCTGGAAGGAGACCTCCACAAAGGGCCTCACCTGAACCTGCACCACAACAAACACACAGTTTAAATATCACATGCAGATACATAACTCACTGACAATCAGCTGTAAATTACATTAGATTTATTTGCAAATGAGTAAAAAAATGGAATAATGTCAAATAAAAAAGTATTTATGGGAGACAGGTGGAGGTGGGCTTGGTGCACCAAAGGTTTTTTCCCCAGGTGTGACGACCCCTGCCTTGCTATTGCCTGTTGTGTGTGTGGCCCTTTAAATGTTCTCCCTTTTGTCTATCAGTATTGATTGGGGACACCTGGCTGCCGGTACCAGAGGGTTAAAAGGCCTGACTCAGTTCCTCGAGCGTTCTCCCCGCAGAGGACCGGACCTCGGAGAGCAGCCACGAAATAGGAAAAGCGTGGTCACCTTTCTGTTGGATCATTGAATAAAGTGCACAGAACCACTTTCTTGCCTGGACTTTAGATCTGTTCCCTGTGTGAGATTCACTATCTGGCCCTTTGAGTTCATCTCTGTGTCATTTCTTCATGGTTTTGCCGCTTCACATTATAAAAAGGTGCACAGTAGTTGCAGTTTTCTGAAATTAAATCGTAAAAAGGTGTTTTTGTACCTGGCTGTGGAGCCAATCACTGCCCTGCATGGCTCCCTGAGACGCGGGTCCAGGTTGACTGAAAGGAGAACAGTTTAATCACGTGAATATAAAGCATGATTAATGTTGGGAAAACACTGAACGTCCTCTTCCAATATCAGAGTAACATGCTAACAAAGGTATCCCAACTGTAGCTGTGAACATGACAGGATGTATGATTACCTAGAAGAGCATCAGGACTGTTTGAGGCATATGATAGCTATGTGATTAACATGATGATTCAGCCTCTATGGAGATAGACATATGACAAGCATGCTCATTTCTGACGTGGAGCTAATCTGAAGTAAACATTGAATACTGCTTTCTATTCCTCCATCTTGTGACTGTGTAACTCCCTCTCTTGGATATCAGCATGTGAAGGACACTGTTCAGGAACTAGTTGATGCTCTGTATGTGATGACTACTTCCATTCTGGAGAGGATCACAGATACATGGATCCTGAGGTTGAAGCTCAAACTGGGGACCAGGGATTATTAACATTTTGAAGTATTCAGAAAAAGACAGCATTTTGAGATTTTTGAGAAAAAGTCAGAATTTTGAGATTTTGAGAAAAAGTCAGAATTTTGAGAAAAAGTCTAATTTTTTGAGGTTTTTGCGAAAAAGTCAATTTTTTTAAGATTTCTGAGAAAAAGTCAGATTTTTTGAGAAAAGTCAGCATTTTTTAGGTTTGTGTGAAAAAGTCAGATTTTTTAGATTTTGAGAAAAAGTCAGATTTTTAAGATTTTGACTACTTCCATTCTGGAGAGGATCATAAATACATGGATCCTGAGATTGAAGCTCAAACTGGGGACCAGGGATTATTAACATTTTTAAGTATTCAGAAAAAGTCAGAATTTTGAGATTTTTGAGAAAAAGTCAGAATTTTGAGATTTTGAGAAAAAGTCAGAATTTTGAGATTTTGAGAAAAAGTCAATTTTTTTGAGATTTCTGAGAAAAAGTCAGATTTTTTGAGAAAAGTCAGCATTTTTTAGATTTGTGTGAAAAAGTCAGATTTTTTAGATTTTGAGAAAAAGTCAGATTTTTAAGATTTTGACTACTTCCATTCTTGAGAGGATCATAAATACATGGATCCTGAGGTTGAAGCTCAAGCCGGGGACCAGGGAGATCTTTCTAACAATTGATCATTATTCCTGAGCTCAGTGAGGGGGTTTCTGAGGGGTTTCTGAGGGGTTTCTAAGGGGTTTCTGAGGGGTTTCTGAGGGGTTTCTGAGGGGTTTCTGAGGGGGTTTCTGACCTGGTGATGGGTCTGCGGATGGGGATGTCGTATGCCCGCAGGATGTTGACCAGCAGCTTGATGTCTCCGTCGGACAGATTCTGAGCCGTCACCTTCTTCCTCTCCTTCCTCTGAGGCTTCAGGGGACGCTTGGGCTCGGCCAGCTTAAACAGGTTCATCCCCAGGATCCTGACAAACAAACAGACACCACTTATTCATGGAGATCAGACTGTGTGTTATCCACAGATCAATTATTACTCTGAAGGGTCCGATACGATCATTACCACTAACAGTCCCAACAGGTTTCTGCCACGATCACAACTCTGATTCAGACGTTATATTTGATGGCCTTTTATGGCACAATTACAGCTGTTTGAAAATGGGATGACTTGAAAAATATATTTCACAAATAATTATTAAACTTCTGAAATCCTGAGAGAAAATCTAGGGATGATTTGTTTTCTGTTTGAAATACAAATAAAGAGGAACATCTTTTGTAGTTCCTTAAAAAAAATGATCTAAAAAAAGGTTGGGTTGATCATCTGCAATAACAGGGAAATAAACAACAACAAAACAC